TATACACTCTGATGTATGAATTCAAAATGTTTGCTTCATTTCAGTTTAATTGTACAAAAAAATGCCCAGATGATAAAAAATACCATGTGGAATCAGAAGATCCTAATGATGAAGGTTTGATTGTATGTGCTGGTGCTTCTCATCCAAAGGTCAAGGCTAGATTCAAGGAAGACAAAGCAGAGTATGTACTTGTTTGCAAACAATGTGTTTATATTTCTTGAATTTTTTTAAAATAATGACAGTATAATACCAGAAACATAAAGATGAAATAGGTTGGTCTGTTGTGCGGAATTAAATTGTATCGCTGATTACTGATTATTCAGTATTCTTCAAGTTAAATTTCAAAACCATTAGTTGATACCTGAACACTATTTCAACAAAATACATACCTTGTCATTGATCTGGTGTAGACTCTTCCTGACGTTTTCATGATCACTTCAAAAGACTTACATGTCAACAGCAATTATCGTGGTGTACTGAATACAAACATAGCAGGAAAACAAACTTAAAATTAACAATACAAAATGTAACTGTTCGTTTTCTTTTGTGGGCTTTATATATTTTCAAATTAGAGTTAAAATTATAACATGTTATACAATCATTACAGTTGGTATGTCTTCTGTTTTGTTTTTGTTTGTTTGTTGTTTTTTTTTGGAAAAGGGGGGGGGGGGGCAAGTATAACTTTTATTATTATTAGTTCGAAGTAAAACCAGAATGCTTCTTTTAATTTCTGCATTGAATTTGAGTACCTATCTTTTATTTAAATTGCACATGATTTTGTCTATCTATACTCTTTGTGACATTGCTGTTCATCCAGTGGTTATATTCATTAATACAACATGATTGTTTATTAACGGGTTAGTTACACTGAACTTGGCGTAAGAAACGTTGAGCTTTCTTTGATGTGGTATTGATCATATATTTTGGAGTTTTCATTAGTTTAGTCTGTACTGCATCTTGACATACTGTTGAAGATTGGGTCGATGCTTCTGCTGGTGGATTGATAGTCCCCGAGGGTATCACCAGCCCAGTAGCCGGTACTTTGGTGCAGGCATGAAAATGTGGATTTTATGTTATCAAAATATTCTGTTACAAAATGTTTTAAATTATTTGAAATTAAGGAATGTATCTCCATTATGCAAAGCTCTGATTCCTTGCCCGGCTTTGGCTATACTCGTGGTCGTTTTTTGTTTATAGCTCTTCATATTTTAAATAAGCTTTGAATTTTCAAATATTTGGGCCTCGAGCTTCACTGAAGAGACAGTGATTGTCGAAATGCGCATCTGGTGAAGAAAAATTGGTACCGTTTATGTTATTGCATGTGACCCAACAACACATTTTACAGTTCGGGTTTTTTTTTATCTACCACTGAGTACTGGCATGAAAATACGGATTTTATGTAATTAAAATTTGCTGTTACAAAATTTTGGAAATTATTTTAAATTAAGGAATTTATCTCCCTCATGCAAAGCTCTGATTAATTGCACGGCTTTGGCTATAATTTTTGGTCCTTTATTGTTTATAGCTCCTCATCTTTTCAATAAGCTTTTCAAATAGTTTGGCCTCGAGTATCACTGAAGAGACATTGATTGTCGAAATGCGCATCTGGTGCAGAAAATTTGGTACCGTTTATGTTATTGCATGTGACCCAACAAAAAATGTTACAGTTCGGGTTTTTTTTTTTATCTATTTTGCTTTAATTTCCGTTTATCTCGGTTGGATTCGTCAATCAATCTTGAACAAAATATTTTTTTTCTAACTAACTGACCATAAACAGATTTGGATATATGTTAATTAGGACCAATCAATATCTTCACTTGCTTGGTTAATTGTTTAGCAATGTGTAAGAATTGTGGTTCAATTATTTTATGAAACAAATGAATATGAATTAAACCATTGTTTTTTATGATGTAAGTGCTGAACTGATGAAGAACTTAGCTATAACAGGTGGTGTAATAGTACTTGTTGCAGTCGTTGTGTTCATAGGCTATTTCCTGAGGAGAAAGTGCATAAACAAAAGGGAGAATATGCCCAATATGACTGAAAGAATGACAGAATTCGAGGATGAGGTATACTTAAAACACCCAATATTGTTCTGAAATGGTAGATGAGTGCTTCGGATCTATAAACTATAAGCCTTACAAACTTTAACGTAATTCACATGTAGATATATTTAACAGTTATAATACTTAAGCATTTGAATTTCATCAGAAGGTGAGTAGTGGACTAATCACTAGTATATGGAATTGTGGCTAACAAGAAAGTAAACATGCAATATGCATAGGATAAAAACGATAACCTTTGGGACCTCATCAGGTAGCATCGACCCAATTTCTACATGAGTACAATCTTCTCTTAAACAAATATCTTGTCTCTGTTGATCAACTTATATTTTTACTACTGATGTGTATGAAATAATGAATAAGAAGGTAACGCTTTTTATTCAGATTTATCAGCTAGGCAAACAGAACACACAGTAATGTTTGTTTGATTGATCCGGTTCAGATTATTTTCTGCCATCTTTCATGTTTGAAAAGACTTCCAAATAAAAATATGAAAGAATACGTCGTTTAACATGAATTAATGTCTTTAAATAAATTAATTGGATACCAACCATAAAAATTACACTGGGAAATCGATTGAGTAGTTTATTTTAAGTAATAGCTCGCAACACTGAGTATATGCATTTTGCACCCCACACGTGGCAAGGTGTTTGCGTTTTCTGTTTTTTTTAACAATAATGTGTAGTTTTATCATGCCGAAGATCGTTGATTTTCTCCGGATACTATGGTTTATTTCAACCGATAAATAATGTCCTCCAAGTAATAGTCATGGTCGCTATTGCTTACAGACCAAATCATAACACCAATATCTACTAAAAAAATGCAAATTGAGCATAAATAAGCATCAGGAACAATTATCCCCAGAAACATATACAAACTAGGCGTTCATTTCCCAATAAAGGGTTTGTGGAAATGACAAAAATTTGTCAATTCGGTGGTACACGCACTAGTAGCAAGATTTCAGTCTGAAACGGTCATTTTGGTATGATCAAGTCTTAATCGACTGGATTTACCGCTAGAGAAAAATGTCAAGACTTTTTCAGACTTTCAGACGCTGTCACGATATACCGTGTTAAGTCCATTCAGTCATGTCAAGATAAACAACACAGATTATGCTTGCGTCCGTTTAAGTCTGTTAAGACGATTTCAGACGAAATCAGACCAAACCTAAAAAATTCCATCAAATTTGTCAGACCGTGTTTAGATCCGTTCAGTATGCTAGTATGATACTACGAGTTACGCCCCTTCTGATTGATGATATATTTTAAATTGAGAAATATTTGCAAGAATTAAAAGCGTAACTTTCGAATAAATAAATAAAGAAAATAATCTGTTGATTATTTATTTCTGTTGTCGTTTTGTTGAGGACTTATTAAATTATTCGTCTATAAATGTCGTTGGTTTTATTTTGAAAATTAATGTTCGTTTATTTTAATTATTTATTAATTGTATATCGGCGAAAAGAAGTTTACTATTATTTGCTGAAACCTGTAAAGATATAAAATTTATACATGTATATTTACTAAGGATTATAAAAGTACCCTCAGAAGTTACCGTATTAAAACAGATTTGAAATAGACGGAAATTGCGTGTATTTGGGAAATCGGTTTTTTGTTTTTGTTTTTGTTTTTTTTGTATGCAATCGTTACATCGTTACTTAAAAAACATGTGTGTTATACATTTAAACCTTACATGCTCTTAACCGGCAGGTTAAAAAAGTAGTCGTTATCCCAAATAAAATGTGTACGGATATAGATTTTTGTCTTTGAAAAAAAGTAACTGCACTGGAAATTTTAAACTTAACAATATAAATTTGAGGAGATGTGGTATGATTGCCAATGAGAAAACTATCCGTGATATTTCAAGTGAAGTGAACGTTAGCAATTTTATTAGCACATATTTAGTATGTTTTATGTCAGGTGCTACAATTCGTTATCTGTTGAGACTTTCCTCGTATTAAAACTGGAAATTTACTTTAGAACATTTTATAAACGTGTTACCTTCGTGCGAGTAACTTTGTAAAACTTGGACAAGTTTCCATTTTCTTAGCATTAAGCTAAAACTGCACATAGCCCGTGATGAGATGGTATTAAGATTATAAATAAAATACCACCGAGCTTTTCATTAAAACAATATTCTTATTTATTTTTCAGTACCCATAATAATAATTAATCAATGATTTATATAGTAAAATAAAACGATAACCCACGAGATTCAAATCCTTCTTACTATATAAATCCTTGTCGTAATTTAGTATTTTCTGTTTTTAAATATTGAGATCAATGGCACGTGCTAGTAATCAATCGAGTCAACAGGTAATAAACCCAATGATCCATAACGCATGAAAGAAGATTGGCAATTACATGACTATTACATCTATCATCCCACCAAACACAGAACATTTTAGAAACGTTTTTTAAAGGTTTCAAATAAGTTAGTGTCGAAAAAACGTTTAAGAAATGTTTTTAAAAGGTTAAATTGAAATGTTTTCTGGAACTATAGTAGAAATGTTTCTGCAAACATTTTTTAAACGTAAATAAAACATTTTTTCAAAAATGTTTTTGATAAACATAAATAATACATTTTAAAACAACGTTTTTAATTTGGTTTTTTAATAATGTTTCAAAAATGTTTTTTAATAAGTATAGAATAACTTTATAAATCATGTTTCCCATATCACCGCAATATTTTTGTTTTTAATAATTACTTTCAATTTTTAATTTACAAAAAGTCATCTTCGATCTGTCGATATGTGATGATATGTTATGTCAAAAAAATTCTTGTATTCTAATAACTGGTTTCTTTTCTGTAGAACCGGGAACCAGTTGTAACTTATTAGTTAGTTTCGTATTTTATTTCTATATTTCCATTTATCGCATCTCTAAAGTATTATCATATTCGAAGATAGACATTTTAATTGAGAAAATGCATTAATTTGTATTAAAGCAGAATTCTTCATTAGATAAAATTTGTTCGAAACTTCCGGATACTCTCACCGCCTTTTTTAAATCGGGAAAACAACAACATGCAACACTAGACATGCTAGAAGAGCAGTTCTACAGAATAGCGTTCAGTCTATGAGGTATGTATAAAATCAATAAACATTCGATGTATTTTGTAGAAATTGAGAGAAATTACTGCATTATTTTCTCCATGACATTCGTATGATTTGCATGAGTCTATTTACATGATTAACAGATTTAACTACTACAGTCATAAATTCACATTCACCACTGCATGATGCCATCACGTGTCAATTTGTCATGCCTCGTGGGCTACTGGTCTGACTTTTACACGAGTTAAATAAAAACAAGCCTCCGAAGACAGCATAATTAATCATTTAAACTACCCAGAGCGTAGTCAAATAATAATGACGTTTTGTACGGCTTTCTTATTTGAAAAAAAAATGTGGACGCCCTCCTCCAACTTCGTAGCAACTGCAAAAATCAAAAATATCCTTTCAAGACGTCATTTTTTTTTTTTGGACTACCCATAGCTGTGCTGCCAGTGCTGGGCCTCATTTTACAAAATATCTTATGTCTGACTAAAATTGATTGTAACTTGCCAGTCATGAACAATTCAGTATACCGCAAAATGTAACTGCATTTGATACGTTACACGATAGAAACATATTGATAACACTAAACAGTTAAAAAGTAATCATAATCAAATGTTATAGTAAATAAAAATATTACGCAAGGGCACCTGACGAGGATGAATGGCCTTGGTCGAACTTGACCTGAATGATATCCGAAACACCAGGTGTAATATCATCAATTAAAGAAATTCATATACGACCAGTGTTGATTACCACAGATCATTTACGTTCGGAAAATCCTTTCTAATAAATAGATGTGTAAAAGTTTATAATGTAACACCAGAACAATCTACCGAGAAAAGGTCAAATCAGATTTTAACAGTTAAAGATAATATATATTAATTTAAAGTAAATATATATAAGCGAAACATGCTATATATATGAATAAAAAAATCATGCATTAATAGAATAAACCTGTAATTGAAGACAAACATTCAAATGCATATAAAATTGCATATAACGTATATACAGCGATACATGGAAAATCATTATAGAAACTCGATACGGACAAGAAATAAAATATCTTTTAGGCAATAATATTAGTAGGTTTTGCTAAGATTGGTTCATGGACACGATTATTTATAAACAAATATTTCATTTCTCGAAAAATAAATAAATAACAACAGGACTAAATTGTAATTTTGTAGGTCTAGTATTTGGTGTCACAGGGTAGTCACAGCCCTTCAAACTGTATAGGAAGGATGATGAAAAAGTGTGGCACTAATCAGTTATAGGCCAAATACAGTCTGAAGGGGCAAAAGGGAAAAGAGGCATTCACAGGTCACCCTTTGTGCAGGATAATCATGAGTAAGTTGATTAAGAAAATATGTCGAACATTTAAAAGCAAGTGCCATTAATATAGATTGGATTTTTTATCGTGACTTTAATCTCAAAACGAATTCATATGATGAATATGAATATAATGTTTCTCACTTATTATTTTAGATAGAAACAGAGTGCAAAGTTACATAAAGTTATTATATATATATAAATAAAAGTTTAAATAAGTTAAAAATAATAATGAATATATCTTTTTAATTCTGTAATACTTTTTCAGAAAGTTGTGCAAGAGTGTTCCCAAAATCCAAGGTTTCCGATATGGAGGGAGTCTTAATTGGCTTCCTAAAACAGGCCCCACACAAGCCAGGAGGACCAAAATATAAGGTATTTTTCAATTGAATAAAATATCTTAATATACGTTTAAGTGGAAGGTTTTATTTATTTAAAAGTTTATTTTTGCAATTTGAATATCTATACACAAATTTCTGAGCCACTTATAGCAATATACCATTTGCCAACCATGCAGAACTTCTGTTTATTTAGAGACATTAGAATAATACATTGTTATGTTCTTGACGATGGAATTATTGTCTTTATCCTGCCAGTAAAACATTGAGATTTACATTTGTAGCAATTGCTTTTGACATGTAAAATATTATTTATGTTTTTTGCCTTCTTAATAATTACTTGGATTGCAAAAAATAGGATAATTTCCCCTTTATAGATTTAATGAAATAGCTTGATTAAAAGGGAGTACAACAACTAACTGGGGTTAAGAGTTAAATGCTAAACAGTGTACTTGGGCGTACTGATCTCGTTAACAAATTGCTTTTGATAATTTCAGAAACCTGTAAGAAAAGGACAGACGATTGCGCAAGAAGAATTGGAGTCCGAACAAATAAATCTGTTTAAAAGTACATTGATTCTACTGATTTTAGTCCTGTCAATACTGTTTTTGTTTTGTTGCAAAGTGATTAAAGATGTTTATAAAACTCTATTCCAATTTCGGCAACAATTGAAGCTTTGGTTATAAACTAGATCATTGATTGAAGTTATTATGATAATATGTCAAATTCTCGGTTTAAGAGATATGTTATCTCCTTGTCAATGCAAGAACCTTATTGAATTGACTTTCAAGGTCACTGAACCAAGTTTAAACAGTTAGAGGTTGACAAGCTTTGTTTTGGCATAGTTTTTTTTATTAAGAATATCTTCCTTTAGAGCTTTGGTGTAATGGTGAGTGTGGTCGCCTCAAGTGTGGAGGTTGTGGGTTGGAACTTCGGCCCGGCCAAACCAATGACAATAAAATTACTATTTGTTGCTTCTCCCCAAAATGAGTTAGAGCAAAGACTTCTTGGCCCGTAGTCAGAATAATGTGACATGTCATCCTGCAAACTTGCCTTGTGGGCTAGAACCAAAAAATCTGGCACATGTTGGTCTATTACAAGATAGGGTATCAATTTCTAATAATCATGTTCTCATCCAGAATATGCATCTGACTTGCCACTGGTCGTTAAACAACCAACCATCCATCCAAGCTTATGGAGATGTTGCTTTTTCTTCAATTAAACACATGCATTACCAATTAAGAAATGAATGAAATACAAAACACTGCACAATCAATTATATATTTTTAAACCAAAGTAATGGTGGTCGCACTAATGAATCATTGTTACACAAATGTGTTGAAAATGATTGTTGGAGGTTGACAGAAACGTTTTTCATAAAACCTTATTTCAACGTTTTCTGAATGTTCCAAAATAACGTTTCTTCAAAATGTTTTTGAAACATTTATAAGAGTCTACAAATTTTGGTTTTTAAAACGTTTTAATAAAACATTGTAGAAACCAAAACAAAACATTTTTAAAACGTTTTTAAAATGTTGAATTGTTTGCTGGGATAGTATCATAGCTCAGTGTGTGTAGTTTAAGGTTCGAACAATATTATAATGGCTTCTTTCTGAACACCACAAATAACACAGTTAACCCTAAACATGAAGATATTGCAAAACCGCAATTTTGAGTAGTCATTAAAAAGATTGGAGAATAGCTGTAATAAGTAAAAACCCAAAATTCCGGAGTAACCATTATATTTTTATATCTCGTCTTTTGAAAATACATTAATTTTTTTTTATTCATAATTATGTCCAAAGTTATGTCCTTCGATACAAAATTTTACAAACACATGTACAGTTCGGAATTTTTTTTATATGCCTTCAACAGCAATGTGTTGAAATTTATTTATCTATTTATTTATTTACTTTATTTATTTATTTATTTATTTATTTATTTATTTTATTTATTTTCTTTCTTTCTTTCTTTCTTTCTTTGTTTCTTTGTTTATTTCTTTCCTTTTCATCTTCGCTAGGCAAAAGTTACGACCCAGTCCTCTCCTCTTCACAGGCTAGCGAAGATGGGGCACTTACTCAACCCCACCAGTAATATTAACGCACGTGTATTGCGAATACAAACTGGTCACAACAGGGTACCAATGTGATATATGTGTGAATTTATTGTATTTCAGCTAAACATGTGAAAAGCTGAACGTATGGACAAAACTCTGTAAAGCCAATGTCAAGGATTGGTATAGTAATTATATCTTACTATACTAAACACAGAACATTTTAGAAACGTTTTTTAAAGGTTTCAAATAAGTTAGTGTCGAAAAAACGTTTAAGAAATGTTTTTAAAAGGTTAAATTGAAATGTTTTCTGGAACTATAGTAGAAATGTTTCTGCAAACATTTTTTAAACGTAAATAAAACATTTTTTCAAAAATGTTTTTGATAAACATAAATAATACATTTTAAAACAACGTTTTTAATTTGGTTTTTTAATAATGTTTCAAAAATGTTTTTTAATAAGTATAGAATAACTTTATAAATCATGTTTCCCATATCACCGCAATATTTTTGTTTTTAATAATTACTTTCAATTTTTAATTTACAAAAAGTCATCTTCGATCTGTCGATATGTGATGATATGTTATGTCAAAAAAATTCTTGTATTCTAATAACTGGTTTCTTTTCTGTAGAACCGGGAACCAGTTGTAACTTATTAGTTAGTTTCGTATTTTATTTCTATATTTCCATTTATCGCATCTCTAAAGTATTATCATATTCGAAGATAGACATTTTAATTGAGAAAATGCATTAATTTGTATTAAAGCAGAATTCTTCATTAGATAAAATTTGTTCGAAACTTCCGGATACTCTCACCGCCTTTTTTAAATCGGGAAAACAACAACATGCAACACTAGACATGCTAGAAGAGCAGTTCTACAGAATAGCGTTCAGTCTATGAGGTATGTATAAAATCAATAAACATTCGATGTATTTTGTAGAAATTGAGAGAAATTACTGCATTATTTTCTCCATGACATTCGTATGATTTGCATGAGTCTATTTACATGATTAACAGATTTAACTACTACAGTCATAAATTCACATTCACCACTGCATGATGCCATCACGTGTCAATTTGTCATGCCTCGTGGGCTACTGGTCTGACTTTTACACGAGTTAAATAAAAACAAGCCTCCGAAGACAGCATAATTAATCATTTAAACTACCCAGAGCGTAGTCAAATAATAATGACGTTTTGTACGGCTTTCTTATTTGAAAAAAAAATGTGGACGCCCTCCTCCAACTTCGTAGCAACTGCAAAAATCAAAAATATCCTTTCAAGACGTCATTTTTTTTTTTGGACTACCCATAGCTGTGCTGCCAGTGCTGGGCCTCATTTTACAAAATATCTTATGTCTGACTAAAATTGATTGTAACTTGCCAGTCATGAACAATTCAGTATACCGCAAAATGTAACTGCATTTGATACGTTACACGATAGAAACATATTGATAACACTAAACAGTTAAAAAGTAATCATAATCAAATGTTATAGTAAATAAAAATATTACGCAAGGGCACCTGACGAGGATGAATGGCCTTGGTCGAACTTGACCTGAATGATATCCGAAACACCAGGTGTAATATCATCAATTAAAGAAATTCATATACGACCAGTGTTGATTACCACAGATCATTTACGTTCGGAAAATCCTTTCTAATAAATAGATGTGTAAAAGTTTATAATGTAACACCAGAACAATCTACCGAGAAAAGGTCAAATCAGATTTTAACAGTTAAAGATAATATATATTAATTTAAAGTAAATATATATAAGCGAAACATGCTATATATATGAATAAAAAAATCATGCATTAATAGAATAAACCTGTAATTGAAGACAAACATTCAAATGCATATAAAATTGCATATAACGTATATACAGCGATACATGGAAAATCATTATAGAAACTCGATACGGACAAGAAATAAAATATCTTTTAGGCAATAATATTAGTAGGTTTTGCTAAGATTGGTTCATGGACACGATTATTTATAAACAAATATTTCATTTCTCGAAAAATAAATAAATAACAACAGGACTAAATTGTAATTTTGTAGGTCTAGTATTTGGTGTCACAGGGTAGTCACAGCCCTTCAAACTGTATAGGAAGGATGATGAAAAAGTGTGGCACTAATCAGTTATAGGCCAAATACAGTCTGAAGGGGCAAAAGGGAAAAGAGGCATTCACAGGTCACCCTTTGTGCAGGATAATCATGAGTAAGTTGATTAAGAAAATATGTCGAACATTTAAAAGCAAGTGCCATTAATATAGATTGGATTTTTTATCGTGACTTTAATCTCAAAAAGAATTCATATGATGAATATGAATATAATGTTTCTCACTTATTATTTTAGATAGAAACAGAGTGCAAAGTTACATAAAGTTATTATATATATATAAATAAAAGTTTAAATAAGTTAAAAATAATAATGAAATATATCTTTTTAATTCTGTAATACTTTTTCAGAAAGTTGTGCAAGAGTGTTCCCAAAATCCAAGGTTTCCGATATGGAGGGAGTCTTAATTGGCTTCCTAAAACAGGCCCCACACAAGCCAGGAGGACCAAAATATAAGGTATTTTTCAATTGAATAAAATATCTTAATATACGTTTAAGTGGAAGGTTTTATTTATTTAAAAGTTTATTTTTGCAATTTGAATATCTATACACAAATTTCTGAGCCACTTATAGCAATATACCATTTGCCAACCATGCAGAACTTCTGTTTATTTAGAGACATTAGAATAATACATTGTTATGTTCTTGACGATGGAATTATTGTCTTTATCCTGCCAGTAAAACATTGAGATTTACATTTGTAGCAATTGCTTTTGACATGTAAAATATTATTTATGTTTTTTGCCTTCTTAATAATTACTTGGATTGCAAAAAATAGGATAATTTCCCCTTTATAGATTTAATGAAATAGCTTGATTAAAAGGGAGTACAACAACTAACTGGGGTTAAGAGTTAAATGCTAAACAGTGTACTTGGGCGTACTGATCTCGTTTACAAATTGCTTTTGATAATTTCAGAAACCTGTAAGAAAAGGACAGACGATTGCGCAAGAAGAATTGGAGTCCGAACAAATAAATCTGTTTAAAAGTACATTGATTCTACTGATTTTAGTCCTGTCAATACTGTTTTTGTTTTGTTGCAAAGTGATTAAAGATGTTTATAAAACTCTATTCCAATTTCGGCAACAATTGAAGCTTTGGTTATAAACTAGATCATTGATTGAAGTTATTATGATAATATGTCAAATTCTCGGTTTAAGAGATATGTTATCTCCTTGTCAATGCAAGAACCTTATTGAATTGACTTTCAAGGTCACTGAACCAAGTTTAAACAGTTAGAGGTTGACAAGCTTTGTTTTGGCATAGTTTTTTTTATTAAGAATATCTTCCTTTAGAGCTTTGGTGTAATGGTGAGTGTGGTCGCCTCAAGTGTGGAGGTTGTGGGTTGGAACTTCGGCCCGGCCAAACCAATGACAATAAAATTATTATTTGTTGCTTCTCCCCAAAATGAGTTAGAGCAAAGACTTCTTGGCCCGTAGTCAGAATAATGTGACATGTCATCCTGCAAACTTGCCTTGTGGGCTAGAACCAAAAAATCTGGCACATGTTGGTCTATTACAAGATAGGGTATCAATTTCTAATAATCATGTTCTCATCCAGAATATGCATCTGACTTGCCACTGGTCGTTAAACAACCAACCATCCATCCAAGCTTATGGAGATGTTGCTTTTTCTTCAATTAAACACATGCATTACCAATTAAGAAATGAATGAAATACAAAACACTGCACAATCAATTATATATTTTTAAACCAAAGTAATGGTGGTCGCACTAATGAATCATTGTTACACAAATGTGTTGAAAATGTTTGTTGGAGGTTGACAGAAACGTTTTTCATAAAACCTTATTTCAACGTTTTCTGAATGTTCCAAAATAACGTTTCTTCAAAATGTTTTTGAAACATTTATAAGAGTCTACAAATTTTGGTTTTTAAAACGTTTTAATAAAACATTGTAGAAACCAAAACAAAACATTTTTAAAACGTTTTTAAAATGTTGAATTGTTTGCTGGGATAGTATCATAGCTCAGTGTGTGTAGTTTAAGGTTCGAACAATATTATAATGGCTTCTTTCTGAACACCACAAATAACACAGTTAACCCTAAACATGAAGATATTGCAAAACCGCAATTTTGAGTAGTCATTAAAAAGATTGGAGAATAGCTGTAATAAGTAAAAACCCAAAATTCCGGAGTAACCATTATATTTTTATATCTCGTCTTTTGAAAATACATTAATTTTTTTTTATTCATAATTATGTCCAAAGTTATGTCCTTCGATACAAAATTTTACAAACACATGTACAGTTCGGAATTTTTTTTATATGCCTTCAACAGCAATGTGTTGAAATTTATTTATCTATTTATTTATTTACTTTATTTATTTATTTATTTATTTATTTATTTTATTTATTTTCTTTCTTTCTTTCTTTCTTTCTTTGTTTCTTTGTTTATTTCTTTCCTTTTCATCTTCGCTAGGCAAAAGTTACGACCCAGTCCTCTCCTCTTCACAGGCTAGCGAAGATGGGGCACTTACTCAACCCCACCAGTAATATTAACGCACGTGTATTGCGAATACAACCTGGTCACAACAGGGTACCAATGTGATATATGTGTGAATTTATTGTATTTCAGCTAAACATGTGAAAAGCTGAACGTATGGACAAAACTCTGTAAAGCCAATGTCAAGGATTGGTATAGTAATTATATCTTACTATACAAGTCCTTGGTAAAGTAAACAGCATTGCCGTGAAATATTTGAGATAGAAGAATTATTAAAGTCATTACGCACTAAGTAAATTGTCTATAAACGACATGAAATTTTAAGACTATGTAAATCAATACAGGTTGTGTAATCAAATTTATGTAATACAAATCGTTCAAATAATGACAAAAGGTAAACGTAGACGTGTCAATTCAACAGTGTCCGAACCATTTGCAAGGATAACTGAAATAAACATAATTAGATTTGTTTATGATGTGCGGCAGAGATGTGCGGTTAAATTTCGTAATTAAAAAAATGATATGAACAAATGTCGGTATCAGTGTAGAATGTACATTTTGTGTGTTATAAAAATTCTCATTAGAACCGCAGACCTTCGGTAGGAAAACTGAAAATCCTAATCAATTAAGATTGGAGTCGAGGGCTCCTGCCAAGTGCAGAATTCGACAGGCTAGTGACACAATAATCCGAATACTTGGATTACTTGGCCACCGAGGCCGCTAATATAATACGGAATGATGACCCTAAAATTATTCTAATTTTGTTTTCATTTTTAAATTGCCATTCGCGACGTTTCCAATATAGTTAATCTAATTATGACTGCTGTGACTCGTTTAACGTTCAGCGAATAACATCACTTGCTATACAGTTTGTCAACTATCGAAATGATAACAAAGGAGTAGGTCCGGTAAGGGCCGATTTTGGCCTCAAATTTCAGGTTCATCTGATGAAATATTTTAGACACTTTTTAAACACTCAAGTGTCTACTTTAGTAGATTCAATTAGTGTATCTGAAAGATTTGGGCCGATTGAGTCACTAAAGACGCTCAAATTCAGGCTTAAATATTAAAAATCTATCAATTATGCCATAATATGTCACTTTTCAGATGGTTTTTGTCAAAAATGAAAGTGGCCGCATTCGTGTTCATCCTCGACCTTTATATATGATATGTATTATCATCAAATACAACTTACATTTAAATATTAAGAATGAACACGAATGCGGCCACTTCCATTTAAGACGAAAACCGTCTAAAAATTAACTCAAATGCTAAAATTGTGAAGATTTCAGTAATTTAGAATGACTTAATGATGCTAGTACCCGATACATGTGCATTGTATTGTCAAAAACAGCCCATATTTATGTAACAGAAGTATTCTTCTTTCCAATAAATAGCTAAAAGTTTACATTTTAACAATTTTGTAAAACTGCTATATTTTGGGGCCAAAAAGGGGTCTTACTGGACCTACTCCTTTAAGAATAATTGAAAAATCAAGAGCATTCCTTGATTCAAATAATTGTTGAAACAGTCGTATATATACATGTTTTATTCCACGAGTTTTCCCGATGCAAGTATATATTTTTATCAAATTTCATATTTGTTTTTTCTCCGTTTAGCATGAATGGAGAATTTAGAAATAAAGTAGGAAAATAGATTATAACCTAGCTTGGATTAAAAACAATATGTTTGAACTGAAGGACATACCTTCTTGCTGTCGAAATATACCTTGTGCGCTAAATTTCAGAAAAGGGTATTTGGTCCTATAAAGTTTATGAATGCGAAAATGAAGAATTCCCTACCCCCCTTCAAGATCCTCATAAACTTATACGGATTAAGATACGTTTTATTCTACGGCGAGCCTATTATTCCGGCTAGCTAGATGCGCAAATGATTAATATCAACTGAAGTGGCATGTGGCGCGGAAAGTGTCACGGATGAGGTATCGGATTGCAAACGCGCGTATGCTTTGGACGTTTTAAGAATTGGAGATCGTGTTCAAAATTTAAAGATGTCCTAAAAAAAAACCAGAGAGAACGTGACTACTTTAAAACAAATTTCTATAGAACAGACCCGAGAACAATAGCGTCGGGCTTAAAAACTCTTATTATACAATGACATATTGCAAGTTCATGCATCGCTTTACTTCTGAGCGTCCAGTGTACACAGCCGGTAACTTGTAACTTTCCATTTAAAAACTATCAGGTGTAATATACATGTTTTTTGTCTCGCGTGTCTGACAGTGATATATACTAGTCATTACTAAACTCGTACGCTTGTTTATAAATAACATTTCTGATGTAAAGAATGATATTCATGAAAATCTAAATAAATCCAAAAAAAAGATTTGATGGAATAAAAATCTATTTTGATGATATCGGATATGTTCCTTATGTCGTAACTACAATCCCGTTCCCTTTTCACGAATGTGAGCTACCGAATTAGACTATTTACCCCTATTTGTGACATTTTTACCAATTGTTTTTGTTTGTTTTGTTCACACATCGTTGTCAATATAATGGAATTTGATGCGACTGTCATACAAGTGGAAGGTTTAGCTAGCTTTAAAACCAGGTTCAATCCACCATTTTCTACATAAGCAAAGATGCCTGTACCAAGTCAGGTATATGACAGTTGTTATCCATTCGTTTGATGTGTTTGAACTTTTGATTTTGCCATTTGATTGAGAACTTTCTTTTTACATATTTTCTTATTTAAGGGTACATTGGGAAAAATGTAAGTATATACTCGTTGTCAATAATTATGGACAATTTGAAACATTAATTTAACAAAAATGTACGCACTTGTCGATCATTGGTTTATACGCCTAGATAGAAAGTTACAGAACTATAGATAGTCGCAATTCAAAATATATACATGTATATTAAAGATAAGAGAGAAACATCCAGAACCAATCTGATCTAAATACAGTTCAATATCTAACTTGCGCTGGTTCGTCGAAGTCACAGGACAAAAAGTCACAGGACATAAAGTCACAAATTTGATAAAACCAAAAGTCACAGGACAAAAAGTCACAAATAATCTGTTGATATTTTTTTGAATATATAACATGTATAAGAAAAAGATCTTGAAATATTTTCTTTTTATTTCATATATTCATTTTTAAGTTTAGGAAATTGTTTAAAACATAATTACCACGTACATACAGTTGGGTGCAGACCAAGCATTACATGTAAACGGGCGGAAAAAGTTAACGCGGCGTTTACTCGCGTGCACTTCAAGTAAACGCCGCGTTAACTGTGCGTTAACTCGGAAATTTCAGTAGACATAAAAAGTAAACAGGGCGTTTACTTTCGCGTTTACCTTCGCGTTAACGCAAAATAAGCGCGTCTTCTAATTTTGTAAAGAGTAAACGGGCGTTTACTTTCGCGTTTACTTCCGCGTTAACGTGAAAAAGGCGCGTCTTCTAATTTCGTCAAAAGTAAACGCACGTTTACTATTTGTAGTAAACGCGCGTTAACGCAAATTGTCATCGTATCCTGGATACACTGACCTTAAATATCAAATGATAAAGTATATCAAAATTAAATGACCAACTGTTCATTTTCGATTGACATTAACAGTTAATTAATAATGTAATAACACCTCT